AAGAACAATAGTATTCTTGGGATGTATCCTGTGGATCACCCACCTCCTCCTTGAATCACCTGTGGCCCTCGAGGGGTCTCTCTGCTCTTGTGGGTTTCCTGCAATATTAAGAATCGGAGCATGGAATGCTTCTGTAAGTAAGGAGATTGATGAAACTGGGTTCTTGCCTGGAAGGAGAATATTCTGCTAGTGCAAAGCCACCACTAGACATGATCCTTTCTGAATATTTATGGCAATAAATATGCAAAAGTGACTTGGCGGGTGGGGTGAAGCTGCTCTGTTGTTCCTCAGAGAGAGCTCGGAGGCAACAAGATGGTCAGTGCGGTGCAAAGACACCAGCAGAGCCAACCCAGTGTTTCTGCTGGTACATTTGTACCTCCTCAACCCTCTCCCTTTTCCACCTGTTAGGAAGCTAACAGAGTGGCCCTGCCCCACCCAGCAATATGCTTCTGTAAAATCATAATAATTAAGAATTGCTTACGCGGTTGGCGCTGTGGGTTAAACCACAGAGCCTAGGACTTGCCGATCAGAAGGTCGGCAGTTCAAATCCCCACGACGGGGTTAGCTTCCATTGCTCAGTCCCAGCTCCTGCCAACCTAGCAGTTCAAAAGCATGTCAAAGTGCAAGTAGATAAATAGTTACCGCTATGGTGGGAAGGTAAACGGTGTTTCCGTGCGCTGCTCTGGTTTGCCAGTCATGCTGGCCACATGACCCGGAAGCTGTACACCGGCTCCCTCGGCCAATAAAGCAAGATGAGTGTCACAACCCCAGAGTCGGCCACGACTGGACCTAATGGTCAGGGGTCCCTTTACCTTTACCTTATCTTTTTAAAAAAATGATATTTATTGAAAGAATTTTTTTTTTAAAGTTACAAAAGAAAACAAAGTAGAAAAAGAGAAAAACAAGCCACTTCCAACCATACAAATACAAATTCAAAATAAGAGAGAAAAAAACAAAAATACACCACAAAAATTTAAAAAACGTTTAAAAACAAATCCATTATTCTCAACTGCTCAACTGTCATTACCCTCTTTCCTTGACCTCCTCCTCCTCCCCTTCCTTGTGTCCTGGTTGTTAATTGTCACAGCAAATCCTTTCCATATTTCATAATATTCTGTCGTTACATTACCTTAAACTATTTTAATCTTATCTTACTATAAAAAACCTTGAAACTTAAAACTTAAATCTTATTTTTACCAACTTCTCATAATCATAATATTCTTACATAATTCTTTAAACATTTTTACTAAAGCCAAATAATTTCATTCCAACATTTTTCTAACATTCATCAATTTTATAAAACAGTCCTAGTAATAAAAAAAAAGAAATAAAAACAAATCCAATCTTCATCCAGGGTCCCTTCCTCCTGGTCCCGGGTTTTGTCAGTCCTTATTATCCCATCGATCTGGCGCATTAACCTGGTAACCTTATATCCGAGGCCCTTAAGTCTCTTCCATGTCCCTTTTGCAGCTCTTCTTCATATTTGTAACTGTATTTTCCCTTGTCTCCTGCTTGTTTCACTCGTGGGAACTCCAGCTTAGCAATATTTTTGACCCTTCTCGACAGATCAGCCCCTTTTCCATAATCGACACTAAATTCCATGTGGTATTTAAAAACATGTTTCAAAAACCCTCCAAAATTGAGAGCCCCCACAATCCCAAACATCTCACGGCCCATTGCCAGACTTGAAAAGTCCAAACATCCCTGCATAGGAGGGTCTATCCAACCCCCCATTTCCAAACCAAACCAAACTTTTTCTTTCCAAATCTGGCTTTTTCCAAGTTCATTTGTCAAATCCGAAAGCTCATATTCCTGTTGGGCCTGTTCTGTTAAGGTGCACTCCTGATTTAATTCCTGGGTGGGCTCCACATATTTTCCCACTGCCTGTTCAAAATTTCCCACTGCCTGTTCAAAATTTCTAATCGAATCAGCCATCAAATTTGTCTTCTCATGTAGCTGTTCCAGTAGGGCATTTGTTTTCTAGAAAGCACACAACAGAGCTTCTGAATACATTGTCCTGCAAGGTCAGATGTCTATTCCCACGATTGTAATCTGTAACAGCTGCCAGCTCCCAGGAGTTGGTTACAGTTTCACAGTCTCCCTTTAGGGGGAAAACTTCTATTTGATCTTTCTTTTAAAGACAAGTCTAGCAAGAGAGTTTCCTTTTTTCAGATATTTTGTCAATATTTGTTCCTTTAAGGTGCGAAAGGAAACAATGGAATCACTATGTTTCTCTTCTTTTAGCTATCTGTCAAAAGCGTTTATCTCTGGTCAATGAGCTTCAAATGTCTGTCCTGACACCCCGCTCCAGGGTCAGGACGGTGGAAAGTTACTTTACTTTAAACTCACTTCTGCAGGTTTAAACAGTCCAAAAAAGATCCCCCTTCTTCTCCTGCTACCGAAGGGGGGTTCAACAATTTTAAATGATGAAAGCCAATCCTTTAGAAGCGATTTTCTGAGCTCTAGTTTACGTTGTCTTTGCTTTATTCTGTCTACAAAGAAACGGAAGGCTGACTTCCTGTTTAGACCTTCCCGTTTCAGTACCAAATTGAAGTAAAATTTTTAAGTCCAATTCCTTTCTTCTCGCAAGTCCTTATTTAAAGTCCAATTGTTCAAAGTTTAAGTACTCACAGGTGCTTATTTTAGAATCCAAATTGTCCCAGGAAAAAGGCAGCGCTCTCCAGTAACAGCTGTGTGGCTTCGCTCCACAGAAATAGCAGTTGACTCACAGCACCGCGCCGCTTCCCCCTCTTCACATCAGAGCCCGTTAGTGGGTTCCTTTGTGGGTTGGGGGGCGCTAAGGGTGCCCGCCGAGTCCCATGGTCACAGGCTTCATCCGCCTGTGATTTTTAAAAGGGTCCCCGCTTCGCCGTAGTGGAAAAGACCCGTTTCGCGCGGAGCTAGTCCCTCCAGTTCAGAGGGAGTCCGCCATTGCCGATGGCGCCACCCCGGAAGTCCTGGCGCCACCCCGGAAGTCCTTTATCATGGACAGGCTGGAGGTATATAAGATGGCCTGCCCAAAGTTTTGGGATCTTGACACTGTGTGAGATGGGTTTTAACAGGAAGGAGAGTATACGTTGATTGAAATCTATCCCTCCAGATACCCACAAATGTGATTTGAACAGAGTTTTAAAATCCCCTTCTTGGCAGCAAAACTAAAAGCATAGGAATTAGGCTGTGAAACCTGGTTTTCAGCAAGTCCAGCTGTGAAGTAAGTTGCCTTCCCTCTTCTTAGGGCACTTCAGAAAGAATCAGGCAGCGAGCTGAGAAGTTTAAAAACAAGCCTTCCTTACTTTATTATCATGTGTTGATTCATAGCAACAGTAGCAGTAAAAACTATGCAGGCAAAATAGTGGGATGGATTTGCAGGGGACACCCCTAAACCCTAGAGAGTAATAAATGGTAGGATTTTGAGGATCTGGAGTATTGAAAGGAAGATGGAAGTCAGTGGGAAAGTGCAGGCTCAGATTTCTTTCCAAGCCAGGGCTTCACCTGGGATAGAGACAGGAACATGCCAAAAGGGGTCGATGGCCCATCGGAGAGGCTGCGAGAGAAGCCTGAGACTCCAGGGCCGCCCTCTTGACAGGACCATGCTGTGAGATACGGACTCCCTCCAGACAGATGGAAAAGGGCCAATAGGGGAATAAAGAGTATTTCTTAGAGCTATGACAGTCTCTGCCATTTCCCATTCTCCAAAAGAACACGGACCCTGGGTGAGTGCCTGGACCCCCCGGCATCTTGCAGAGTGTAGGGGTGGCACCCAACTTTTGTAACAAGACTGGTATTTACTTGATAACATGCGGAAGAGGCAGGTCTGCATCCAAAGGATGAGACAGGGGAACACGAAGTGCAATATGCGCCTTTCTCTCCAGGAGAGCAGGGGAAAGGATGTCACAATGAGCCCTCTCTGCCCATTGTGTTTCTAAGGACCGAGTCCCTGCCTCTCAGCAATGCAGGTCAACAGACTTAGCTCCTTCTCATGCTGCATGAGCCCTAAATGGATAGTGTGTACACAGCCTTTAGTTTCCAGGGAAAGGCGTCTGGTGGGCTTCAGCTTGCACGGGACAGGAGCGTAGCGAGATTTATTTTGTATTATTTGTTTGCACCATTGCTGCATGTGACCCTTGAGAAAGAGGTTCCTGCCCCGAGGGGCTTACAATCTTTAATCTGACACAGGGAGGGGACAGAGAAAGGTTGAGTTCCAGGGTAGATCCTGAGTCCTCCTGGGAGACATAATAAACCAGGGTCTGTGAGTTCAGGCTTTGGGATTCCCAGACATTTCCCATCTGTAATCTCTTCCTCTGTTTTTGCAATAGGGTAATTAAGGTGATTCTATTAGAATTCCAAAGGGAATGTCAAGCAGGGAGGGAGGTTGGAAGAGAGAGAGAGAGAAATTCTGGTGGAGAGAGAAGACTGGAGGAGGCTTGGAAAGGGAGAGTGAATGTTGGGGGGGGGGAGGCAGTTGAGAGTCGGTTGAGAGCAGTGGGTTCTAGAAGGGAGGCACTTGGTGGGGGACCTGAAGCTGGGCTGGGCAGCTCTTCAGGATCACTAGTCCAGCAGTAGGACCAAGTGTGCCCATCAGTGACTGTAAAGAGTATGGGTTGCTCGTGCATAAGTTGCCGCCTCTCCTGGCTTTGTTGCCTTGTTAAACCTTTCAGTCTGGACAGCCCTTCACTTCATGGCTGCCTCAGTCGCTAGCAGAATCCGTCAGTGGGCGTTTCTTAAACCTTTTCCAACATAAAAGTTGTTTGACACCCAGTCTCCTCCTACTCTCTCTGCGCGGAAGTCTTCTGCGCAGGGAGGGCGTGGGTAGCAGAGGACCCGTGCTCTCCCCGCTGGTGTCCGGTGAAGAGTCTGGGAGCCCTCTCGCCGATTCCCCCATCTGCCCCTCTTTATTCCTGGTGTTGCGCTGAATTGCTTCCCCATCTGCAGAGCTGCCTCTCTCCCTGCTGGGCCCTTCTCCAGCATCATTTGAGAGCCTTCCCTCCGCCTCTAGCTCCGATGTCAGTTCCCTGACAGTGACCATGAAAAGGAACTCTGAAGGTAGGAGGAGCTCCGAGGCCCAGAGGAGATGAGTGGCATAGAAATTTATTATTATTATTATTATTATTATTATTATTATTATTATTATTATCACCCATCACTGGTGAAGAAGAAGAAGAAGAGTTTGGATTTGATATCCCGCTTTATCACCACCCGAAGGAGTCTCAAAGCGGCTAACATTCTCCTTTCCCTTCCTCCCCCACAACAAACAATCTGTGAGGTGAGTGAGGCTGAGAGACTTCACAGAAGTGTGACTAGCTCAAGGTCACCCAGCAGCTGCATGTGGAGCAGCAGAGAAGTGAACCCAGTTCCCCAGATTACGAATCTACCACTCTTAACCACTACACCACACTGGTGCATGTGGCTTGGCTCCCTGGCTTGACTTGTCCACAGCTGTTGATAGCTTGGCAGGTCCTCAGCTGTGGTCCCCAGATGATATTTTCTGTTGTGAATAACTGGTTGGTTACTTCCTCTGTTTTTTATTTTCCTTTCTGTCTCCCAGGTCCTAAGACAGGCAGGCCACAGCGGCTGCTGTGGCACAGTGAAGAAGAGGAAGCCGCTCTGGAAGCTGTGATATGTTAATTCCATGGGGAATCCATTCCCCACATGTGCCACGTGGTGCAAACCTGAGCAAAACAGGGCTGGGGTGGGGTGGAGCAGGCCTGTCTTGGCCCCCCCTTGCCCCCTCCTTCTGAGACAGGGGTTGAGCCATCGTGCAGGGCTGTCTTAAGCATATGCGGCGCCGGGGTGCAAAGATCTGGGGGGCGGGAGTCCAACCCCTGCACAGACTCATCAGGGCTGACCTTAAGAGAATTGGAACAATTGGGTCAAATTGGGCCCGCCGGCTGCTCCTAAGGGGCTCCCCGCACCAGGGCAATCTAGATGGATTTTATTTATATCTATAAGATTTTGCACTTCGGCTGTGAACTGGGGCCCTACAAAAAAAAATCAAGTTGTGCCCCACTGCTTCTTCTTTTTTTTTATAATAATATTTATTCCAAGTTTAAAATTACAAAAGGAGAAAAAAAACAGTACAAAATACAAAAAAGAATTTAACAATAACAGAGCAAAAAGTAAAAAAAGAAGAACAATGAAATAAAATAAAAACAAACAAAACAAAAGATATAAAAATGCATTCAATTAAAATAGGACAAAAACAGATTAAACCTTTACATGACTTTTTTCCTTTACTTATTTCCTTGACCTCCTCTCACCTCCCAATTTTGTATTCTAGTTCAGATCGTTTTTTCAGCAAATCCTTCCAACCTTATTTTCATTTACGTATTTTAATTTAAAATATTATAATTTAACATCCTCTCTTTCATCAATTTCATCAGCTCATTTTTACTTAATCCTTTATATCATATCTACCAAAACTACTTAATTTTCTTTTTCCAACATCTTTCTAACAATCTTTAATATTACAATATTTTTGAAGATATATTTTAAATTTTTTCCAATCTTCTTCCACCGACCCTTCTCCCTGGTCTTGCCCCACTGCTTCAAATTGGGCCCCACTGGCTAGCCCTGAGTCTCATAGTTGGTGGGTCTGAGTTGCCCTGCCCTCGCATGAAGTCTTGGGTTTGCAATTTTGGGAGAGGGGAGACTGCGGCACTGGGGAGCGGGCAGGCTGGCAAAGCCCCCTGGATTTAGAGGTCCTAGGCTTCAGCCTACTTAGCCTATACATAAATCTGGCACTGCTAGAGGGCTCGTGAAAAAGGCACTTTCAAAACCAACACTACAAAGCAGGGAGAGAGGGAGGCAATGGATGAAATAGATGCATATGTGAAATTGCTTACGATGCAATTGGTCTTAACTTTATACTGATTTCAGTACTTATCTGCCATTTTCACTTTGTTGCTTGCTGAATTTCAGATTATCGTTTCCTCTGAATGGTGTAGTTAGGCACACAGCTACTTGTATTATTATGAACTGGAAGGCATTTATCTTTCAAGGATATGTTTTTGTATTTTCCTAGCTATTTTGGATAACGTGGCTGCAATTCTTCCGAACGGTTGCAGCCGTATCCAGCCGAAGAGATGGCACACTTTTACAAAATGTAATGTTGTAGGGGTGGGTGGGTGGGTGAGGGAGGAAGGCAGCATGAAATGAAAGGAAAAGGTGAGAATGGTATAAGGCAATGTTCTGTTAAAACTGGGAGTTTTGTCCCTGAAATAAATGAAATGTCAGGAAATGGTGTTGAACTAGCCCTGAACAAACTGAAGTTGTTGATTTATAAGAGCACATGGTGTGTATAAACATAACCCAGACATTTATTTTACAGGGAGCAGGTAAATAACAACTTAACGTACAGGAAAACAGCATTTCGAGGGTGGAGGGAGAAAATTATATATGTGGTATTGGATGTAATTGACTGAGTGAAGTTCAGTACAAGTTTAGAAATCAAAAGAACGTTCTGATTCGCTAACAGTGCCAGCCTGCCACATGGTCAAAGCCAGTGTGGTGTAGTGGTTAAGAGTGATAGACTCGTAATCTGAGGAACCGGGTTTGCGTCTCCGCTCCTCCACATGCAGCTGCTGGGTGACCTTGGGCCAGTCATGCTTCTTTGAAGTCTCTCAGCCCCACTCACCTCACAGAGTGTTAGTTGTGGGGGAGGAAGGGAAAGGAGAACGTTGTTGCATGTAAACAAACAAACGAACAAAAACACTCTTGACTTTGCTTGGCTCAGACGTAGCCCACAGGGAGCAACAGTGATGCACACCTGAACTCTCAGCACAGGTGGTTTTTCAGCTTACCTGGAGGGAGATGGGGAGGGTCAATCTGATGAGGAGGTTGTCACTGTGTGGTCACATTGACAGAGGCAATCCACCATTCCTGCTAGTGCAACCACATAGCAGATGCCAGAAAGCCAGGTGTGGAGTGGTGACCACAAGCCACTCCTGCTGTACAAAGGTCAGACACACAGCTATTGCTCCACACTCCTTTGTCTCAGTCCTTGTTCACTGCAGGCATGCATCTCCTTGGAAGGTTGATCATGAGAGAATGTGGCCCTGAGGCTGAAATTAATCCAAACCTGGCTCAGGTTTGATGGATAAATTTTGGAGATATTGATGTTGACTTCTAAGTCTTCATATGAGGAATCACCACCAGGAATATCTGTTGCACACTTCAAGCAGACCCTCCAAGTGTCCCTATTTTCCAGGGACAGTCCTGGATTTACAGAAGCCATTCTGGTTTCTGATTTGATCCTGGAATTGCCTATGTTTCCTTTGAATATTCTCATTTTCCTCAGAGAAACGTTAGAGGGTAGGGAGTTATAAGACCCCCAAGCCATCTGGAAGTTTTTAAATGTAATGTTTAATGTTTATTATTATTATGTTTAATGTTTATTATTATCATCAACATCATCATCATCATCATCATCATCATCATCACTATTATTTGGAAACTGCCCAGACTGTCTGGGGCAACCCAGTCAGATGGGCAGGGTATAATAATAATAATAATAATAATAATAATAATAATGGAATAAGACATTCCTATTTTCATCGGAGAAATGTTGGAGCTATGCACTTGTGGTTTTCTTTAGTGCACGTTTGCGGGTAGTGCTAGAAACTGGATGTTTGTAGCTTAAAACAGTGCAAAACTAGTGCAAAACTGTTGCACAGGTTTGGATGAGATCCATCAATGCTGATTTTTTAAAGACATTAACTATGAATCCCAATTTGATGTGTCAACAGACACTTGCACTGGAGATTAGTGGCACAAGACTCTGGCAAGGGTTTTTTTGAGGGGGACGGCACCAGATTTTGCGATTTGAAATTAATGGAGCTGTTAAGTTTCTTACTGTGGATGGGGACAGCCCCAAAGCTGTGATTATCAAGGAGATGAATCGTGCCAGTTCTGCCATTCACATCCCACCCACCTCCCAATCCAAGTTGTTGTTGTTTTAATTCCTTTCCAAACAATTACAAAAGGCAGCATGATGTCCTGGAGGTTTAACAAATGCTGTAGGCCACTCTGCTGTGCTTTGAGAGAAAAATATATATGGAAAGATTGTGCCAGGATTCTAGCGGGGAAGCCAAAGAAGTATCAGTGAGTGCCATAACAACGAAGGATAAATAAAGCAGAAGTTGCCAACACCCAGGAGAAAGAAATTGCTTTAGAGGCTGTTGTTTACTATGTCAGCAGGCAGAGATATCTCCTGGCTTCATCTGGAAGAGTTTGAATGTTATGGGTCCACAATTCTGGAACATGGGGCCACAGGGATGTAGGACAGCATCTAATTTTGCATCTGGCAAAGGAGCTTCCAAAGATGATGAAAAGGAGTTTTACAATATCTAGGACAGACAATTAAAGCAACAGCTGCAACCGTGAAGATTTATTTAGCCAGACCAGAGTTAAGAATACCCTGGGGTTTCTGTTGACATTATAGTAGAATACTTTCTGAGATCTTGATAGTGGCCTGCCCTAGATGAACATTACTACTATCAAGTGCAAGATTTCTCAGGATGTTTACGCAGACATACTATGGAAAGAGATTCAGAATGTGTCTCTTTGTGCTTTGAGGCATTGCAGAAAGGGTTCATGGGGCTCTGGGTTTAAAACTTGGTTTCAGTAAATATTCTGCTAGCAGCTTCAACGGAAGAGTTGGCTTCAGTAAAAATTCTGCTAGTGATCTGCAGCAGCCATCATTGCTTTTCATTGCAACAGCAAAATAATAATAGAAACCAGGGCCTACTGTACAGAAAAGGAAGAAGACATGGTTGGTTCTCCATGTGACCACATTTGGAGTACTGAGTGCACTTCTGGTCACCACAGCTCAAAAAATGGATATAGTAGAGCTGGCAGAGTTTCAGAAAATGGCAACCAAGGGTGGCGCTGTGGGTTAAACCACAGAGCCTAGGACTTGCAGATCAGAAGGTTCGAATCCCCACGATGGGGTGAGCTACTGTTGCTCAGTCCCTGCTCCTGCCAGCCTAGCAGTTCGAAATCACGTCAAAGTGCAAGTAGATAAATAGGTACCACTCCGGTGGGAAGGTAAATGGCATTTCCGTGCGCTGCTCTGGTTCGCCAGAAGCGGCTTAGTCATGCTGGCCACATGACCCGGAAGCTGTATGCCGGCTCCCTCGGCCAATAAAGCGAGATGAGCGCCGCAACCCCAGAGTCGGTCATGGCTGGACCTAACGGTCAGGGGTCCCTTTACCTTTGCCTTTACCTAAGGAGTGGTTAACATGCAGATGAAGGTGGCGGTTTGTTGATTGACCCTGTGTGAGAAACAGGGAAGATATCTCCCAGGCTAGGAGAAGATGCAGGTGAGAGCAGGAAAGGCTCACTTTTCTCTGCATGTAACAAGTTAAGCTCTACCTGTGAAGGAGGACTTTATATTCATTTTTTTCTTTCTGTCTAGATTCTTTGTTTTTGTTAAAATTAGTTTCTTTTATTATCGTAACATATTATGAAAAGTCTAAATAAAATCTAATTTCAAAAGAAAAGAAAATGGCAACCAAAATGGTGAAGGGGCTGGACCATGAGGAAAGATTGCAACATGTGGAAATTTTTGTTTAGGAAAAAAGGTGCGTTAGGAGGGGGACATGATATAGGTGTGGAAAATGATGCACAGTGTAGATAAAATGGACGGGAAAACATTTTTTCCTCTCTAATAAACGCTAAAACTGGAGCCATTCAGTGAAGCTGCATGTTGGAGGATGAAGGACAAACAAAAGAAAGTACCGTATTTTCCCATGTATAACATGCCCTCATGTATAAGACAACCCCTATTTTTTGGGACCGCAACAAAAAATTGGGGGGGAATGCAAAAAGTTGTTGAGTTTTTT